GAGAGAGGCCAGCTCAGCCCACCAGGGGGCGGGCTGGCTGGCATGTGGTGCTGGGGGATTGAACCGCGGTCCCTGATGCTTTTGCCAAGCTTGTTCTAAGTAGGTGCTTTAGACCACTGAGCCATCTCTCCAGCCCCAACAATTTTATTTCTTAAAAATCATTACTACTATTTTGAGACAGGGTCTTGCCATACAGTTCAGGTTGGCCTTCAACTCTTTTAGTAGTCCAGCCTGGCCTGGAACTCCCAGTGACCCTCCTGCATCAGCCTCCTGAGTGATGGGATTACAGGCATGTGCCATCACCTTTTCCCAACTATTATTATTGTTTGAGACAGAGTCTCACTAAGGTAGTGTAGGCTGGCCTGGAACTCACTATGTAATCCATGCTGACCTCAAACTCATGTTCCTCCTGCCTCAATGTCCCAAGGCTGGGATTAGAGGCACCTGGCACCACCATGCCTGGCTGCGCATACTGAGATTCTTGAGCTGACCGCTAGTGTATGCTTTGCTCAGTAGCTCTGAAGTGCAATGTGATATCTTTTTAACAGTTCTTTGGAAACTTCCCAACCTGTCCTGTGGCCCTCCCACCCCTGGATCCTCTCAAGGGGTACCTGACTTATGAAAGGAGACGTGTTGTTTGTATTTTTCTAGCATTTCTGTGTTTTAGCTATTTGGTTTCTATTTTATTTTATTTATTTACTTATTTATTTTTTGTATTTTATGGAAGGGTGTACAGGGTGTTCAGAGTCTCACTACTAGATCAGACTGATAGGGATTCACCTGTTTACAGCCTCCCAAGAGCTGGGATTACAGGTGTGCCCCACCATGCCCAGTCTCAGTTGCCATCTCAGTGTGCTCCAGGGGCAAAGCCAGCACGGCAGGCCAGGGATCGAACCCTGAGCCCCTGTGCCTGTTTGCAGGGGCTTTAATCTGCTGAGCTATTTGGCCGGCCCTTAGGTTTCTATCCTTTATTTAAAACTTTAGAAGTTAATCTCTCTTCAGATTTATTAATGTACAATTGACAATCTGCTTGCTTTGACTCTCTTTTGGCTAGATTTTTTTCCCTCCAGAATTCCTCATGTACATTAATTTGTTAAATCAGAATATCTGAATATTGCTGTTGATATTTATAATATAGAGTTAATGTTTTAGTTTTTGCATGTTCTTGTTTTGGAATTCCAAATTACTCTTTAAGGGGATAAAAAAAGGAAGATTTCTCCAAAGATGGTAAAATGTCACCGTCAGCTCAGCTTCTGAGCTCTTCAGAGATGGAAAGGCTTTCAGTCTCGCTCTGAGGGCAGTTACGTGAACGGTGGTCATGGCCGCTGTTAGGAGGCCTGTGCCCTCCTGTGGCTACCTCAGGGCTTCAGCATTTCCCCAGACTCTCCACTTCTGTGCGAGGAAATGCCAGGGAAGCACGATCTTAGAACAGAACAGCCTGCATATCAGTGGGGGGAGAGGCAGGGGACTCAGCAGCTACCGGAGAGGACAGACTTCAGGGAAAAATATACTGGTAAGTAACTGATGTTTCCTTTATGGCTTCAGAGGAACGCTGCAGTTGGCCTGTATGAGCTGGTTTAAATTAAGCATAAAGTTGGTTCTAATGTCTGAGCCCTTTTAAGTTTTTGGAAAGTAATTATTTAAAAGCTGCCTTTTTATGAAATGGCTGGAGAATACATGCAAAAATTGCCAGGATGATTTTTTTTTTTTAACCTAAGGAAATTGCAGTTTTGAAGGACAGTTTACTTACTGTACAGATACAGCCTGTATTTATAAATCAAATCTTTTCTGTTACTAAATTAGCGTAAAGTCCTGGGAAATCAGACGATGTCAGAAAAGAAAGACAAGTACCCTACTCCAGAATCTGTGGCCATGGGTGAATTGAAGAATGCCAGCAAAGAAAACAGGAACTTGGTACGGTACTGTTCTGTGGACTTTCTGGGTGTGTACATTTGTAGACAGGAGGAGATGGATGTACTGTCTTTTGGTTTGCTGTGATTCTCTTGGCCCTTCACCTGTTTTCAACTGTTTTAACATCCAATGATTTGACTTTTTCCCCTCAACTCATCTTTTTCTGTAAGCTATTTTATTTTGGTGAGTTTTCTTTGAATCATTTAGTACATATCTTGCGTTTAAGAAGGATATAGCTAGTCACAAGCTCAGATGATCAGTACAACGAACAGTTCAGAAACAAGTGCTGGCAGGTTCGGTTAATTCTTCCTGGAGACCCCCGGGTGGATACCATCTGAGCCAGGCCTCCTTGCGCTCTGCATTCCCTGTGGGGTACTTCTTCAAGATGTATGGCTACTTCCTCAGTCAGCACGAGGCTGTTAAGATTAATGAGGTATAAATATGTCAGTCTTGGTGAAACTCCTCATACTGAAATTGAGTGAGTAAATAATTGCTGTTAGGAAGGCCTGGCTATAGCTCTGACATTAGAATGTTTAAGCACCGTAAAATTTTCTTGTTACAGTTATTTTCTGACTCTCCAGCTGTCATGATGACACCAACAAGATTGAAATGGTCTGAGGGGAAGAAAGAGGGGAAAAAAGGTACTAATTGTACTTACTCTTTTCTTATTCAATGTAGTTCATTTCTGCATCTAATCAGTAGTGTTCATTTTGAATTCCTGGGGTAGTATAGTTGTAGTCAGGAGGAGTGTAAAAATTACAAGGCCGGGTCTTGGCCCTTGAATTCCTTCATTTCAGGGGTGTGCTGCTCAGTCCTGCCCTAGGTGCTGAGGGGTTGAGGGTGGAGCTTACAACCTAGACCTGCCTGGTCTCTGCCATCTTCAACAGCCAGGCCACAGGCATGAGCTATCTTAAGAGTACTTGCTAAGCAAATTAAAAGCAAGTGCAACTTGAGACCAAGGGCAGCAGTGCCGCGAGTATGGACGGTCATGGAATGGCTGCGTTCCAGTTCTGGGTAGACATTAACCTTAGTTAATCAAAGAAGCTTCCTAGGTATTGAAGGTCCTGGAAATTGCATTCTGCGATGACTGTGTCGTACCTAGTACCTCTTTTATGGTGATTGTCCCAGGCTTTTCTGGCAACAGACTGCTTGCTGGAAAGAAAGATCATGAGATTTGTGTTAGCCCTTCATTGAGTTCTCATTTTTTTTAGAGAAGGGTCTACAGGGTATTCAGGGTCTCACTACTACATCGGACTTGTAGTGATCCACGTGTTTGTAGCCTCCCAAGTGCTGGGATTACAGGCGTGCGTCACCATGCCCTGTCTCAATTGCTCTCTCAATGTGCCCGAGGGGCAGAGCTGGCACAGCAGGCCCGGGGATTGAACTCCCACCCCTGCGCCTGCTTGCAGACACTTTAATCTCCTGAGCTATTTGGCCAGCCCTTTTGTTGTGAGTTCTCATTCTTATCCAGGAAAATCACTCATTCTTTCACAGTTTGTTTCCTCCTCTGAAAATGAGGTTGAAACAGAGGTGGCACCCTTATTCCAAAATTCGAAAAGCTTGAGATGCTCTAAAATTCTAAGTTTTTGAGTCTCAAATATTTTGACTTTCAGAATTTTGGATTAGGGTTGTTTAACTGGCCTATGCAAATATCCCCTGTCTTAGTTACTTCTCTCATTGCTGGGACAAATACCCGACACTCAAAAATGAGGGAAGGAAAGGTTTATTTACTCACAGTTACTGGAGGCTTCAAGACACTGGAGGAGAGGTTGGGGTGGTGCCATGTCCAGGACGACCCTCTCCACATCTCTGAGAAAGTACAGACTAGCCAGTTTAATGCTTCTTGCCTCTCTGGCTCCACCCCTCTAGCCCCACCCTGGTCCTCTGGCCCCGCCCCTCAAGCCACTCATTGCTCCTCCAGCTGCGCCTGCCCCATATCTTACCTGAGGCTTTGGGAGGACAGCTAGACACAAATCATAACATTTCACCCCTGGACCCCCAAAGTCTCATGCACATCCCTTTGTCCAAGAGGCATTTTAGTCCATCTCTAAGAGTTGCCAAAGTGGGCTGGCGAGATAGCTCAGTGGAATAAGCGCTTCCCTGGCAAGCACAAGGGCCTGAGTTCAATCCCTAGTTCCACAAAAA